CACCAAGTTTAACTATCTCAGCTTTAAGCACAATATCCAATGCTATGCCGTCAACGCTTACAGCTGTACCTTTATTAACGTCTTTATCAGTACCTACGTGATTAGCCGATATAAACATCACATCGTCAGCAAATTTAGATACGTACTCAATAGCATCTAAATGTTCTTCTGTAAGCTCATAGCGGTCTGCGTAAACATCAGGATTAAACAGCTTTTTAATAGCGTTAGGGTAGTTAACTGCACTGTCATCAGCCGTAGGTATTTGTATAGCTATGCCGTCTTCATAATAGAAAGTTACAGTAGATAAGCTACCGCCTACAGCTACTATTTTATCCTCTTTACTGCTGATTACTTTCAAATCCTTGACACGTAGTATTCTGTCAGGAAAACCAACTCCTGTAGTTATCATACATCCTATCACACCGTTAGTCCAAAACGCAGCACCGTTAGTCATAAGTACGAAGTCTGACGCAGCGTGTTGACCCTCTTTTAAGTCTTTTAGCCCATCACGTAACACGTCTGAGAAAGTATCAGGAACGTCAATAGCTGCTTTAGGGTCAATGTTGCCCACATAAATTGATACTTTTGGTTTAGTCTTTAGTTCAGCTCTGCGCTTTCCCCAAGATACTATTACACTGTTTTGACTCTCAATTACGTTAAATGGAGCATCGCAGTTATTAAGCGCGTTATACAGCTCATCAGCACGCACAGCTACTTGAATATCGAACATAGCTGGCATATAGATAATTCCTACTGGTGTATTACACACTAAGTTACCGCCGTGAGTAACAACATCAGCGTCTTTAGTCATAGCTAAAGCTAACTTAAGCACTTTACAAAGCGCTGCTGCTTCTTCATTTAGTTGTTTTTTCTTAGCCATAGTATTCCTCATCGTTAAATTCTTCTAGTACACCGCCGCAGCAGCATACGTAGTTACCAAAGTTATCTACAGTTACGCCGTCAGTTTCGTCGTATGGAACGTCGCCGCATTCTACACAGCACACGCCTACGTGTTCACTAGCCATGAATACATATAATGAGTCATGCTTACGCTTAGCTGCGCTTTCAGCGTTCCAGTAATGAGCATCTTTAATTACCTCTCCGCATGTGTGGCAATTAGTAGTACCGAAGTCACTAATAATCAAGTCACGCGCAATAAGCGGAGCGTCACAACTACGGCACATAAAAATCCAGTATATACCTGATGACTTTACGTAGTCTATATGTTTAAGCATTATGTACTCTCCAATCAGGTTCGCTATCTTCTGCTGAGCCTACTAAATCTAGCTGAGCGCGCAGTTTAGTTGCTGTAACTATTCTATGTATCTGCTCAGCGTATCTCCACACAAGGTTAGCGTTAGTAGTTTTACCAGCAGCTATTTTTATGAAAGTTTCAGGTACAATAGCGCCTACTTCATAATACACGTCGCCAGTGTCTGTGATAGTAACTTCTATCGTGACGTGTGTATGTCTGCCGCAATAGTCAAGCTCACGAGAAAACAAAGCATAACTATTAATTGAGTTACTTACGCTGACAGTATACCCATAATGGCGCATATACGCTTTTACTTCTGCTAGCTTAAGAGTATAGTCTTCTTTTGTAGCCATTATCTAGTTCTCCTGTACTCATCAGCTACAGAACATATAGCGTCTATGTTCTCTGCGAAGAATTGATGTATATTGCAATGAAGACCATCAGTTATACTGGGCATAGCGCTACGCAGAATAGCTTTAAGCTTTAATCGCTTTTCGTGCGCTTCCGCTTGCTGCTTAGTTTTGTACTGAGTACCGTCCTCAGCTTCGTACCAAGTTATTTCTTTAACCATAATATTACCTTAAGTATTGCTTAATTGCTGTAGGTATACTGTTGCCATAAGACACTAGCAAATCAAATAGCTGCTGCGTATTGACTGTAGCCTGTTGAAACGAGAAGCAATGCTCCTTGTCATTAAGTACACTTATGTCAATAGTAGTGTTGTCTCCAAGTACAGTTATGTAGAAATACACGTCAGTAGCTTTAACTATGTCAAGATCAATAATAGCTGCGTGTACAGCCCATGCGCTGCCTACTGCGTATACAGGCTCTACAATAAGTAAATCTAACCAACTAGCCGTAGATTGATCTATGTAGTCTTGCATAACGTCACCTAAAATGGTAAATAGTCAAATGCTTGGCAGCCCATAGCTATAGCCCAAGCTGGTGCATCCTGATTAACACGCTCACACACTACATTAGTTTTGTCGGCGCTCCATTTAGAATAATAACACGTAGCGCAGTTACGTACAACAAATAGTCTGTTAATACTTTCCTCAAACGCTTGATCTTTTTCAGCGCCGTCAAGCGGTACAGTCAAAATAGCTCTCGTCCGTAAATCCATAGCGTATCACCTCTGGGCTTGTTCGTTTAGGTTTATTCATGTACACGTCAATAACAGCCACTTGCTTAATGTGGGCTTTACCGCTATCCATAAACTCGTCAATACTCTTAGGTATAGGATTACCATTACCTAATGCTTGCCACCACATCTCTGTTTGCTTAGTCAACTTACCGAAACTAAGTCGTTCTTCAAATTTACCATTAGCTCCGCAGCTATAAATTACATGCAGACTAGCTACTGATATACCGCCGTTGTAATAGTCTTTCTTTCTAAAATTTATAGATGTGACGCGTAGTCTACGAATGTCAGGTACGTGCTCTTTTTCAGCCACAAGCTCTTTAGTTGACGCGTGATTTACAATAGACTGCGACATAGGGAACTCGTAGCCGCATTCGTCGCACACTTTAGCTGTAGCGTACACCATAGTACGGCATTCATCATTACCGCATAGCTTAAGCGGAGCATCTTTACTTGATGCTTTTTTCTTTTTACTAGGGGCTACTGGTTTTACAGGGTCGTTGATTGCACCTAAGCGCCAGCCATTGCCAGCAAAATCCAAAACTAGGCAGTTATGTACTCCTGACGCAAACATTGCCGCCTTGCGCCCCTCAAGCGATTCTAGGTCAAATCCAGCAGCGTAAACAGGGCGAGTTCCACGTCCCAGCATTTGTACCCACAGGGATGTGGATGTTGTGGGTCTAACCACAGCAATTAAATCTACCCCGTTATGGTCAAACCCAGTAGTTAAAATATCATTGTTAACAATGCAGCGAATCTTATACGCCTTATAATCAGCTAGTATGCGCTCACGTTCTTTCTTATCTGTTTTATCAGAGATCATAGCCACGCTAACGCCGCGCCTAGCTATCTCTTTTGTCACAAGGTCAGAGTTAGTATTACCAGCCGCAAAAACTAGCCACGATCTGCGATCAAAGCCATACGCGCATATTTCGTCTACAATAGCAGAAATACGCTTTTCATTATTTACTAATTTTTCTACGTCTTCTTGATTGTAGTCATGCGTAGTAGTGCTTATACGCAACCCGCTAACGTCAATAGAGTTGTTAGGTTCTTTAGGTACTAAACGTTTTAAATACGCTTGTTCAAGATACCAGTTAAACTTATCTACTGTAGTGTGGTCTATGATTATAGTCTCCCAAAAAGGAGCTACATCAGTTTTAGTTTTTCGATCATACCATACGTCAGTTAATAAGCCTTGCCCCTCTCTGTAGTCAGTAGCAGTCAAGCCTAAGAACTTAGCCATAGGATTCATTTCTTTGATAGCAGCGCATACTTTTCTATAGTTAGTATTTAGCTTAGGAGATACCCTATGAGCTTCGTCTATCATAACTATATGCCGCTGACCTAATAAGTGCGGATTATTAGCTACTGTATCAATACCAGCGAACAGAATGTCGCTGTCAGTTTCTTTTTTACGTAAACCAGCGTGCCACAGACCTACTTTATAGTCTTTTATCATTGACTGTGCTTTATCGTGGTTTTGTTCTACTAGCTCCTTTGAGTGAGTAAGCATTAGTATCCGCGCTGGTGGATAGTATAGTTTAGTCTGACGCGAAGTATCAGCGATAACTACAGATTTGCCTACTCCTGTGGGTTCTAACACAAGAGCAGAGTTTTCTTTACCGTAGAATAAGAAATTTAATGACGCTTGCACGGCTTCTGTTTGATACTCACGCAGTTTCATATAATGCTAGTCCAGTAGTCACAAAACTCAGCAACGTCTATTTCAGCGTATTTAGCTACGGTTATATACTTCTTTTGACACAGCCACGTACCATCCTCAATAGGTGAATAAAATTTACAGCTTCTACAATTACGGCTAGGTGCTGGTCTGCTACTGTAGCATAAGTCTTTAAAGTCGCACATTTTGCAGCGCCATTTCTCGTCTGTGCGATGCAGCTGTGACAGTGAGCTTGTGTGTATTACATTTCTGCCACGATTGATGTATATATTAGCTGAGATAGTGTCAACAGCTGGAAAATGAAAATCAATGCTATCGTTGTCTTTATTAAGACCTACGTACATGAAGTGCGTAGCTCCCATAGCTGTAGCGTATATATTACCTTGTGTGTAGTGTTGCGCATAGCTTACATTTAAGTCTTTGCTGAATGTTTTACTAAAACTATTTTTATTATGAGTTTTGCATTCTACAGGCATGTACGCGCCGTATGTGCCAACGTAAGTTGCTGGTGTATATAGAACTCCGTCCATACTACCGCCTATGTGCGCTGGTAATCCTGTAGCACGTATTTGCTCGTTAGTATCAGGGTCTACTGTTTGAATAACCATACCTATACTGCGAAGCATGTCGATAAGCCTGTCTTCTTCCTGATGACCGCGCTCAAATATGCGCAATGTTCTGCTTGAGAAATTAGGAGCTTGCACCCATCTAAACGTAAAGAATAGATAACGCTCGCATGAATGACCTAGAATAGATGCACCTAAATGATGTCGAAATGGAAATTCGTCAGCCTGTTTTTCTTTAGCTTTATATGATATTGCGTTTAGAATATCGTCTTTAAGATTGCCAGTCATTTAGTCACCTTTATAGTTGTGAAAGAAAAAGGCTGCGAACAGCCTATCTCTTGAAGTATAGATTAATTACGGTGCTGGCGGTGGAGCGAAGCTTGGGTTAGTTCCAGCAGCAGGAGGAGCAAATCCGCCTTGCGGTGCTTGCGGTTGAGCTACTGGCTGCGGTTGTTGCTGAGGTGCTACAGGCGCTACAGGAGCTGTAGGCGGTTGCGGTTGTTGTTGCTGCTGTGCATACTGCTGCGGCTGTGCGTACTGGTTAGGGTCGTAGTGAGGCTGAGCTACTGGCTGAGGTGCTACAGGCTGTGCTACAGGTTGAGGAGCTACTGGCATGGCTGGCTGAGCGTAACCTTGCTGCGCCATTGGTTGCGGTGCTTGCGGTTGAGCTACTGGCTGCGGTTGTGCCGTAGGCTGTGGAGCTGGCGCAAATCCGCCTTGCTGTTGTGGCTGTTGTTGACCGCCCCAATTACCGCGAACAAGTTCAGTACCGTCAGCATAAAAGCGATCAGTAATTTCATTTTTCCAGTATTCAACATCGGGATTATCTTTGCTCGGTTCTTTAGCAGCGTTAACGAACACCTGTAGGCGACGACCTACTAAAATAGCCGCATCATTGAACGCTGAGCTGATACCCACAGCTGTGCAATATGATGTAAGCTGCTTGACTGCGTATTCGCGTGCTTTAATTGACTGATTCATAATGTTTACGCGGTCAGTTAACACAATACCGTCGAACTCACCGCCAATAATCTTAAGCTCTAAGCATAAATAGTTGCTTGTAGCTTCTGATGAAGTCTTCATATACGCTTTATGAATTACAACAGGGTATTTTCCTGATTTAGTAATAAAGCTAGCAACCCCTAATAGATCGTGCTCTACTGGGTTAAAAGCCATAGGTAATAGTGAGCTAAATTGTTGTGACATTAGTGTCATCCTCTAGTTAGTTGAGTGTACCTTGCGTATAATAGCGCTTAGGTCTGCTGGTTCATACGCGTCTAGTATGTTATTTCTATCGCGTGCGAATATTCCATTATTTACGTCACGCTCTCGCGTCTGCAAATAATTTAATCTAGTTGGAACTATAGTTCCGTCTGCTTGTTGTACATTAACTGTATGCCAAGCTAAATTTAAAGTCATGTCAAAAAAGTGATTAAGATATGAGCTTACAGCTTTACCAGCGAAGTCAGGCTTTTTGCCTACAACATCGCCAAGTGCATTATGCTCATCACCCTCCCATGCAGTTATTAAAACATTCTTGTTTAAGTTTACAAGACGCTCAAACAAAGGTAAAGCAATATCATTCATATCGCCGTAATATTTCATAGCGTGATTGTATGTTTTAGTTCGCTTAAGCTCAGTTATTAACATATAAGTTAAGAATGAGCCTGAGTCTAACACAACACTATCAAACGGTTTTAAATTAGCTTCAACGTCAAGCCATTTAGTTATTTCTTTAGTGTCAGCTATATTAGTTATGCGCTTCACAGTGAAGTCAAACTGTCTTAACGTACTTACGCCTAACTCAGACGCTAATATTAACGGCTTAGGCAATGTACTGATAAGATGTGTTTTACCGCTATCAGGCTTACCATACACCATAAACTTTACGCCAAACTTATTGACAAAGCCTTTAGTAGAGAAAGTCTGCATTAGCGGTCATCCTTTGGAGGCATATATTTAATAGTAAGCGCTACGTCTTCTGATATGTTGCCTGATAGATAGTCACGCACGTACTCAGGTAAATTGTCATAGCCTGATCGACTAAATGTTACCTCAGTCTTAGTCTTAGTGCGCCGAAAGTCTCGCATCATAGCGTCAGTTAAGCCAATATCAGGGTTGTCAACCCATGACATTACGTGCTGTAATCTATCGCCAGCAGAAGATACTTTCATAGTGCGTTGAACAGTAAGCTGTATTTTACTACCGTCAGCTGCATTTATAGTCTGACCACAGTAGTCGTCTTCTTGTATACACATGAAGTCAGCTAAGTCTGTACGAGCCTCACGTTCAGCTTGTTTATACCAGTCAAGATAATATTTCATCTTATGGTGAGCTTCTATCGCTTCTTGTAGCGAAGCTGGCTTAGGTAATAGCCGCTGCTCTTGTGGTTGTTCGTCAATACTCATAGTTGTTTTACTCAAAAACTCCTAAGCTGAATATATTATCATGGTGTGGGCATGTCAACAGTTCAATGAAAAATAATTACATTAAAATGTTGTTGACTTGCGCTTGTTGTTTACTTAATCTGTCAGACAAGTTTGGAGAATTTTAACATGACTCAGCAGAATTTTGAATCTGTACTAGTCACCGTAACGCGTGAATTATTAATAACGCGTCCACGAAATATTGACTACGCCATGATTGAGCAAGAGACAGCGTTATCACGTAGATGGTTAACTTCTTTTGCAACTAAAAGCAGCGAAGACTTTAGCGTAACTAAAGTAGAGAAGCTTTATACTTATTTAGCTGGTAAACCACTTAAGTTGTGAGATAACAATGATCGACGTATCAAAAATACCTCAAGAACTGACTATCTATAAACAGTGGGTGTGCTGGAAATACGTATACGACGCTGATACTAACGAGCCGACTAAAATACCGTTTAATCCTAAGACTGGTAGAGCCGCTAGTAGTACAGACCGTTTCTCATGGGCTACGTTCTCAGAAGCAGTATCAGCACTAGATAGATATGACGGTTTAGGTTTCATACTAACACGCGATGACCCTTACTGCGTAATGGATTTAGACGCTGTTAGCACTGACGAAGATAGAGCTAGACTTGAGCGCTATTACTTTTCGCTAAGCTCCTATACAGAAATAAGCCCATCAGGTACAGGCTCGCATATATGGATTAAAGGCGAAGTACCGCGCGGACGTAACTCACGCCCCTTTGAAATATATTCATTTCACCGCTTTATGACTGTGACAGGTAATGTGCATTTCAACACAGCTATTGAGTACAGGCAAGAAGAAATACTAGCTATATGGAATGAGCTTGGCGAGGGCAAAGCATCAATTCTATCATCGTATGACGGTAATGACCCTGAGCCATGCTCTGACCAAGACGTACTCAATAGAGCTACTAGCGCGAAAAATGGATATAAATTCTCACAACTATGGTTTGGTAAGTTTCAAGAGTGGTACAGTTCACAGTCAGAGGCTGACTTCGCATTAGTTGATATACTAGCTTATTACACACAAAACGCTGAGCAGATAGCTAGGTTGTTTCGCTGGTCTGAGCTAGGTAAACGTGATAAAGCTCAGCGTGACGACTACATGGAGCTTATGGTAAAGAAGTCATTTGACAGATTACCGCCTAAAGCAAATCTTGATATGATAGCGGAGTCAATAGCAGCTATGAATGATAAATTTCAACAGGAAGCGGCTATTTTAAAAGCTGCTCCAATAGAACAAGCAGCGATGGTAATGCCCACACATGAGATATTGCCAGCACAGGAGCTTGACGTTGTTAATACTCAGCCGCGCAGCACTTGGCTCAATGACGCACTGCCTATATTTGAGCAGCCAGTGTTCTTCCCTAAAGGTCTAGTCGGAGACATAGCTCAGTATATCTATGAATCATCGCCTAGACCCATCAAAGAAGTTGCACTAACGTCAGCTATAGGCTTAATGGCTGGTATATGTGGAGGAAGCTACAACATATCAGCGCAAGGATTAAATCAGTACGTACTTGTACTCGCGTCTACTGGTATGGGTAAGGAGAATATGGGCGGCGGTATTAGCCGTTTAATGTCTCAAGTTAAGCTAATAACACCGTCAGCTATGAAATTTATCGGAGCGTCACAAATTCAGTCACCGCAAGCGCTACTAAAGTTCTTAGACACTAAATCTAAGTCAGCTGTGTTTATGCTTGGTGAGTGCGGCTTGTGGCTTAAAGATTTGTCAGACCCTAGATCACCAACTAATATAACAGGACAAAGACGACTACTGCTTGAGCTATACGGTAAGTCAGGGCGTAATGACCAAGTACACCCAATGATCTACGCTGATTCGGATAAAAATACTAATGTGATTCAGTCACCGTCAGTAACATTAGTCGGTGATTCTACGCATGAGCGCTTTTATGGTAATGTAGATGAGTCTCTTATTGCAGAGGGCTTTATTCCACGTTGGTTGATTATTGAATATAACGGGCAAAGACCGCCATTAAATGAAAATCATCACGCCGTAGTACCGTCAATTCAGTTAGTTCAGAACTTAGCTACATTATGTTATAGCGTGCATTCAATGCTAGATACGCACAGTGTCATAGACGTAGCTTTTGCTAACGAAGAAATTAAGCAAGAGGCTAGAGAGTTCAATACTTATTGTGATACGCAATATAATGCCAGCTCAGACGAAGCGTTACGTAATTTATGGACGCGAGCTTACTTAATGACATTAAAATTAGCCGCACTATGCGCTGTGGGCAGAAACTTCGGCTCTCCGATGATTGACTACGATGACTGGAATTTTGCTAAGTTTATGGTATTACGTAATACACTTAAACTATGCCGTAATTTCTCTACAGGCTCGTTAGTAGCTACGCTAAATAATGAAGCATCGCAGCAGCACGCCGCGCTTAAACGCTTGCTTATAGAGTATGTCGCTGGTACTAATAGATCGTCTGATAGCTCGTATGGCGTTACATCAAAAATGCGCAGCATCTTTGTTGTGCCGTATTCTCTGATCAGCAGAAAGCTTACACGAAATAAAGCATTCGCAAAGAGCCATAGAGGTGCATCTAATGCTATTCAGCAAGCGATTAGAGATTTTACCTTGTCAGGGGTGCTTATTGAGCTTACACCGCAGCAGACGCAAGCTGAGTTCAATACGAGTGGTAAACTTTATACCATTGCTGACCCATCGGCATTACTAGCCAAAATAGCAGACGACTAACGCATAGACAAGAAAAAGCCCCAATTACGGGGCTAGTTCTTATAGAGGATTGCAACTTTTCAACTTTCAAGACACAGTAACAACCTAACAACACCAAGAAGCAATGCGTAGCTATGATGTACAGCAACTATAAAACAATAAAACAGTAAGTGTCAATACTTAAGTCAAAAATAATTTTCTCTCAGCTGTACGGCGATTTAATAATCCTTTTTGCTTCTCTCCGCCAGCATTTATCCAGCGCAACATTTCGTCAGCAGCAGCAGCATACTCTTTATTATTTAGCTTAGTTAGCAGCGTGCTAGACTTAAATGCAGTCTCTCCGTTGTTGTATACGAACGACGCTAGTGCGTCAAACTGATTCTGCGTCACAGGTACTTTTATTGCTGTGTCTAGGCAGCGATCAACCCATAAGCAGTCGTTTTTAAGATAAGCTAACGCTTGATCTAGCGTACAAGTATCGCCTTTTCGCACTCTAACGCCATTAGGGTATTTAATAGTACCAATACCTATAGTCCATATACCAGCTACATCCTGATACGCAGTAAGCTTAACTCCCTCCCATTCTTTTATTAAGTTATATCCTACGCTTGATATATCTCTATCTGTAGGCACTATATTCAAGTCATAGCCAATTAACGCAGCGAATACAGGCAAGCCGTTAGTAGCAATTACAGCATCGC